ATTAACTTGTCTGTGTTTCAGTAGCCATGGTGATTTCTTTTAAAGACAGGTTTTGAGGCCTGGCTTTAGCGTGAAGTAGGTTCTGTGCACTGTTAAGACTTTTGTTTATTTATTTGGATTGTTCTGCAACCAACAAGATAAATAGTAGGGCCTCAATGTGTGTTAGAATTTTGTTGCTTATCCTTTTAAATTTAAGGGAAATGTCCATAGGTGGGGACGAAAAACTTTAAATTTAAAACTTTTGACCTTGAGTGGGGCATGTCATTGAAATCTTTGGAATACGATGTTGCCTAGAGTACTGTTCCTGAGAGGAAAGAATACATAGTAAACTAGGACACATTAGAGTCATAGAGCTGTACAGCATGGAACCAGACCCTTCAGTCCAACTTGTCCATCCTGACCAGATATCCTAAATTAATCTAGTCCCTCCCAGCATTTGGACCATATCCCTCAAAACCGTTCCTATTCATGTATCCATCCAGATGCCTCTTAAATGTTGTAATTGTACCAGCCTGCGCCACTTCCTCAGGCAGCTCATTCCATTCATGCACCGCCCTCTGCGTGAAAAAGTTGTCCCTTGGGTCCCTTTTAAATCTTTCCCCTCTCACTTTAAACCTATGCCCTCTAGTTTTGGACTCTGCTACCCTGGGAAAAAGACTGTGGCTATTCACCTTATCCGTGCTGCTCGTGATTTTATAAACCTCTGTAAGATCACCCCTTAACCATCGACGCTGCAAGGACAACAGAGTGAGGAATCAATGTAAATCATGGATCAGAAATGTCAAAGTAGATACTGAACAGATTAATATAATGGCTTAAGCAGATGTGATAGCTTATTCTTGGAGTTGTCTGCAGTTCCAGTCCAAATGTTGAAACCACAAGTAACTTAAACCTGAGATAACAAGGTGTAGAGCTGGATGAACACAGCAGGCCAAGCAGCATCAGAGGAGCAAGAAAGCTGACGTTTTGGGTCGAGACCCTTCTTCGGAAATGGGGGGGTGGGGGGGG